GGGGAAGGATGAAGGAGGGCGTAGGGGGGTGCACAGGGAGGATGAGGCGGGGTGTGTGTGAGGGTGAAGGAGAGTGTAGGGTGGATGTATGTAGGGGGATGTATGGCGGGCGTGAGGGTAAGGGGGCTGCGAGGGACGTATAAGGAGTGTGAGGATGTAGGGGGGAGATGTATGGCAGGGGTGAGGTGAGGGCGAAGGAGGGGCTGGGGTCTCTCACTCTCAGATGCAGCCGAGGGAAGGGACGGGAGGTGTCGGTGTTTTGAGGGCGTTCCGGTTGGACCGGCAGAGGCTGAGCTGGGGGCTTGTGGGGCTGCTGTCACAGCGACCGGTGTCCCCAGCCCACATTCAGCCTCTTTAGGTACCTGTTTTCAGGTGCTTTTGCAGTCAAGGGAGGGAAAGGGGCACTTCTCGCTGCCGCTGCTTTGTAGATGCTCAGGACCAAGAGCTACCCAACCAACCAGCTAAAACATCGAGTAACCCATGATAAACATACATGTGAGAGAACTTGGAGAGCTCTCAGGGCAGCTGCTCACAGCCCAGGTGGGAGATTCCATTTGGCCCATAACAGGGTTTTGTTGTTGGAGACTTAGAGAGCAGGAGCTGAAATTTGGCAGCCAAAAACCCCCTTCCTCAGCTGGGAGAGAGGTAAGAGAGAGGGGGAATGCCTCTCTATCCCACAGTGCAATGAAAGGGAGAGATGTACCCTTCCATTTTGTGTATCATTACTATTTACAGAAAACACCTAAAAACCAGAAAAACGCTTAAACTGGCAGAACATCTCAAACTTCAGCCAGTTTCAGATACTCTTGAAATCACCCAGACCTGTCAATTCATTTTGAGCTGAATGGGGATGGAAATAATGCTACAACAAATAAGACAAAGACAGCTGCAGAAACCTGTAAGACTACTAGACAACTATACACAATATTCTGCTTGACCACCTGGTGGTGTGTGAAATTACCAGTTTGACCTGTTGAGTCCCTGAATCCAGACTGTTTATGATGCAGACATTGTGAGGTGGGATTTCATCCTCAGTGTTACCTCTCACATGTCCAACCTCGGTTGCACTTCAAGGACGACCAAACACAGAAGGCCAAGGTTTCAGGCTTTGGTCTATCTTGGAAAATAATGTGCTTCTAATTGTTAGAAACTGAAATCTATGGCACAGCAGAGGTTAGGACCAAATAAATTCATATTTTACATTGTTGCCTTAACATTTTGTGTCACAGGTTGGACTACTTCAACAATCCGTGTTCAGATTTAACAGTGTAGAGCTCGCTCTTATGTAAAAGTGTGGGGGGGAAAAAAGAGCTACAGAACAGCCCTTGTAGGAGGATTTAAGCTGGTAAGCACATTACAGAGAAATCAGAAGATGGGCTCACGGGGAGGAACAAAAGGCAGTGGTGTGTTATGATAGAGGCACCTGTTGAGACAAGAACAGAGGAGGAAGCTGCAGTTATGCAATAAAATGGAGTTTGACATTCAGGGCTTTTTCTTTAGTCTGGAAAACTGTACTGTGCTGTCTGTAAGCATCAAACCACAGCGGGAGATTGTTGTACTCCTGTTTCCTGCTTTCAAGCTGTTGTGGGAGCACTTGGACCTTCACATCATCGTCTACTGCTGCTGCCTCTTTCACAAGGCATTTTCCTGCTCTGGCTTTTTCTGCCGTCTCCAGCTTCTTCCCCAGCTCCTAAATTTTTCCTTGTTTATCTTGCAGAGCTTTGCCCTTCTGGGGCCTGGGCAGCAAGCTGGAGCACTTGACCTTCCTTCTCCCTCATAGTTTGCCTGAAGAGCACTTTGTTCTTCCACTGCCAGTGGTTATTCTCCTCCCACAGCTGCATATGCCATTTCTTGTGTTCATCCTTGCACTGGATCATTTTTTCATGGTTGTTGGCCAGATTCATGAAGCACCTCTCCAAATGCTTACTCCGTTAGGTCTGGGTTTTCATTCTCACAGCATCCTCTGCCCTCAGTTTCTCCAGCTCCATGTTGAGCTGCTCCAGGCCCCTGCAGCATTTGTAAGCATCGTCTGGTTTTTATTTCAGTATACAGACAAGGTTTTGTTGTTGTTCTAGGCATGAACATAGCAGAGCCTTCTCATTCTTCTCTTTGAGGCTCTCACAGAGTTTCTCTAGGCCTTTTGTCAGATCTTCCATGTCTTTGCCCATCTCTGGATCACTGGTGGATCCGTCTCTCTCTCATCCTAAGCCCTGGAGCCCCTTCTTGCACAAGGACAAAATTTTATAGCAACCGCTTCTCTCAGTGACATTGAGCATAATTAAACAATACCCAACAGTTGTGTGGTCAACGCCACCATGCTAAGCTGGTGGAGTTTCTCTGGAAGCTGAGAAAAAACAGTGATGGCGTGGACAGGACCTCCCAAAACCAATAGCAGCACCCCCTCTGACTGCTTCAGAGTCAGGCAGACTGATGTGGAGGGTGCCAGAAGCAAGGAATGTAGGCTTAGTATTTATGCAAGCCTATTAATTAGCTGGTTACTAGCTTTGCTAATTATTCCTTCTCAAAGCGCTGCTGTTGTAGCTACAAGAAGTACTGTTATATTGAGGTAAAAAGGTTGTAAGTGATAAAGCAGTAAGTAATTCCTTAAACAATCCTTTCCTTCTGCCTTTATTTTCTCCTGCAGATCTGGTATTATAAATGCAAGTAAAACATGGAGGGTTGCATCAAATTTATAATTGATTTATAAGACTTTAATAGTATATTGGTCATTAAAATAACAGAATAGCCTTATCTCATGCTTAGCAATTTATGAATACGATTAAAGATCTATACAATGCTAATAACTACTGAATGCCCTGTGATACAAAGACTTGGTGCCTGGAGAAATGGTTCATCATTTGAGTTTTGACACTGATTTGCTGTGTTATTTTAGGCATGCAATTTCCAAAGTCTGGCTCCTCATGTTAAAATAAGGGAAATATTTATATTACAGCGGAACCAAAAACATCATTAGTGCCTAATGACACAGCGTGCTACCCAGACGCATGAAAGTAGCCTAAAACTCATCTACAAGTTTTTAATTCAGATGCAAACCTGAAACACCATCCTGATAATCAGTTTTTGTGAATTCCTGGGCAGTGGCTGGAAGTGAAGATAGGACATGGGAAGGAGCCAGCTTAAAGGAAGGATGAAAAATAACGTACAGCCAAAATTAACACCTGTGAAGCACAGCCAGTTTCAGAGCTGCACAGCGGTGACCATCGGTAGGGACACAACTTCTGTCTCCACCATCCTGCACTCCCCTGCAACTGTTCCTACCTTGGAGCCTGCCAAAACATTTGGAAATGATGGAGGAGAGGGGGAAGGACTGACATTTCAGGCTATCCAGTGGAAACAGAATGAAGAGCAGGGTTTAAGAGGAGAAAAATGTTTCCTTACCAGGTATTTTCTTTCCCCTGTTTGCTGCACTTCTGCTGTGAGGTTTCTGTCTCTGGGGAGATGAGAGGCTCAATCCAGTCACCCCAGAGCTCATCCTTCAGTTGGACTGGTTGGAACTGGGCCAGCCTCACCAGAGTGGCCAAAAGAGCAAGGAGTGTTTCTTAATGGACTAACAAATGCTGCTGACGCCCTCGAAAACACCCAGATTTGGTAAAGGGAAGAGGATTTTCACAAGTCTGAAGAACTCCTCTCTCTCTCTCTCTCTCTGTTTGCACCCTGCATCTACCGGAAGGGATCACAACAGCAGGCTCTGACCTTCTCCAAACATGCTGCAGGTCCAAGGTGAGTAAACTTGCAACTTGATTCAGCAGTTAATTAAAAATCTGGCAGAAAGAACAGGAAAGAGAAACAAATGCAGCTGGAAATAAAAAGTGCAGGTTTTGCTGACTCCACTGGAAAAGGATACGAAGCAGAGAGGAGCGAGTGATGCGAGTAAAGGATGCGAAGCAAACAAGGCAAGGAGGGTGCAGTAGCAGATCTTTCAAAACGGGTAAAATCAGAGATATAAGGGTTGTTGCACCAGCTCAGGTCTTGCAGAAATGGGAGGCGGAAAAATGAATAGGAGGTTGCTGCACACAGAACTGGAAGGAGAGCTGGGACTTTGAAGCACCTTGTTTATAGGAAGTAAAAATGGTGAAATTTAGAGCATGTACATGCACAGTGATCTTTTTTAAAGTTTTTGTTTGTGGGGTTTTTTGCCTTACTTTAGTCCTGCTGGTTTACATGATTAGATGTAGCCATTACCTTCAAGCACCTTTTAATACATCAGTATAATATCCTTTAGCAGGAGGTGAGATTGTAATATTTCTACTCTATAATTAAATCCTACAGCATGCATAGGGTAATGAGAATACTCTTTCCACTGATAAAGCAGCTTGGTTTGTAATCTTCCCTTCCTCTGAAGTTCATCTTACCAGTACAGCTTTGATTTTCTTGTGTATGCCAATAGTAAAACAGTAAAGAGAAGCACAGCTGCTAAAGCTCTGTTGAAAATATTTAACTTAAAGATCTATAGCTTGGTGCAGACTCCATGGCAAACTAATAACGACACCAATAGCTTCAAAATATCTAGCATTAAGTGCTACTATATTTTTCAAAGACACTGCTGTGACTGCCTCTGCTGACTTGTAAATTTGAAAGCATGAGGAAGACTCAACTTTGTGTGTGGCGATAGCTATCCTTATAGTTTTACCTATATTGTCTCTATTTTCTACACATGCTGAAAAAAAGAGTATTAAAAATTGGGTAAGAACACTGAATTTTGGTACTAAAGGGCCAGTTTTTGTTACTTGGCTCAGTTTCTTGGTTAATCTAGATGAGTATATAATACTGCATCATTAATCACAGTAGTTGTGATGCAGTGCACAAGTCAATCTTATGTTCACATCCAGGTAGCTTTTTTAAATTCAAGCTACGTTTTGACCTATTTAGTGTAGTGGTAAGCAATATCCTTTGAGAGAATGACAAAATGTTGTGTCCATCTCTAGGATGGCTCAAGAGTAACAAGACAGAAGATGTTTCACCTGACCAAAGGACAAGGAGACTGGCAACTCACAAACCCAACATTTTCTTTTGATAGCAGTCACGTTTAACAATCAACATTCTGTGCAGTATAGAGTACAGCAGATTATGTGACGCTTGCCCAAAGTCCCAAAGATATTTTAATAGAGCAACACATTCAAGCTTCACAAGAAACAACAAAAACTTTAATCCAGTGAAACTGCAGGTCTCATTCACAGCAACCTACTTTCTCAGGTGAAAATGAATCCATATAGGTAGTGCATACAAATAAATTAGGTGCCTCTCTGCTTTTCCAGAATCATCACCCTTTCAGGAGTGGATTTTAAGAATACAGAAAGGATGTAGCTGCTGTACCACCTCAGCACATACATATTTTGTTCTGAAGTGCCATGTACACATTGTTCCTCAGTCACACCAGAATAATGCTTTGCCTGTGTCTGGCAAGGGGAAACTTGTACCAGGTACCGAGCTCATCCAAAACACCTGAAAGAAGAAGATACCAAGACTGACAACTACTTTTGGCATTTGTAAACTCCACAGACTGCCTGGTTGAGGAGACAGACAGTGGGTTCCCCAGCAGGTTGAACACACTCTTT